TGCTTAGAAAGTAAAATGTCACTAATAAATGTTGTTAAAGATGAAATCCCAAGAGAAAATAGATGTAAGTGTCCATGACATCCTAAATGCAAAAAATTGTGACCTGTAGCTAAAGCAATATTCAGAAAAAATTACATTTTTAAATATACTGATAGAATGTAAGTGTTATCAAAAAATAAATGTTGTAAATACAACTAATTAATGCCAATAAAGAAGAAAGGATAAAAATAAAGATATTGGCAGGAAATAATAAAATAATTTTTAATTTAAAAAGAAACAATAGGAATGTAAAAAATAACATTACAGACAAAATTCCAGGAAAAAAACTAAAAAATAAAAATATGCAAATAAAGAAAAGAATAAATAGGGAAATTAATTATAGATATTCAAGATTTTAGTATTTTAAACTTATCCCATAAAAATATAAGTTAATAAATATGAATGCCTAGGAAATATATGAGAAATGTATTCTTGAGAAATGCAAATACAGCGTCTGGCACAAGTAACACCTCCCCTCTTTTTTTTTTTTTTTTTTTACAAAATCATAAGCATGTAATTCTGTAACATAACAATATCACACTCAAGCACACCATATGACATTTTAGGTGAAGTGTTCAAATTAAAACATAAATTATTACACCCCTGTTATTACCTTACCAACCACACTCAAAAAGGCCTTACTTCTGCCAGGCCCTGTATATCAAAACTGGCCCATGAAAAACTTGAAAATCTGAATAGAGTAACAGCTATCATAAAAGGCATTTAAAGCCTTCCTCCACAAAGGCACAGATGGTTTCATAGCTGAGTAATGAATGACAAACTTTCAGGGAACAGTAATTTCTACCTTATGCAAGTCATTAAGTCTCTCTTATTAAAGTCGTTTCTGAAAATAGAAAAATAATGAAACCTTGTTAACTTATATCAAAGCTAATATAACCTTTGTGGCAGCTGAGTAACACACTATTTAAGACTTTCTGTTACGTACAGATGGACGCTTGTATGTAATTGATAAGGGGGCTATAAAATTCTCGAGATCAGAAAGTAGACTTGACTTAAAGAGCTATATTCCATAAATTTGGATTAAAAGAGTCAATGTGATAAAAATGCCAGTTTCTGCAAGATAATTTACTAGTTTAACGTAATTACAATAAAAATTACAAGAAGTTTTTTCAAAGGGGATTAATAAAGTGATTCATATGCTTTCTTTAACAAGTTCAAAAATAATTTCTGAAGTTAGATAGATATGATTTATTCCATCAATGTTTAATATACATTCAAAAGATATTTCAGCAAAGAATGAGAAAATGGAACAGAATATGAAGGTTGAAAGCAGTCCAGAGTGTAAAAAACACAAATTTTGTATCTAATAATGCTGGCTCTCCAACCCAAGGGAAATGGGGAAATGAGCACTTAATACAAGTGCAAGCTGTCTTGTTAACTATTTGAAAAAAAAATTAAGTTAAGGTACTTTTTTGTTGTATACTAAAAAATTCCAGTGTATTCTTGATGACATTCATTCACCAAATATTTAACCTCTATTTGCCAAGGGCGGTGCAAAGACTGAGGAGGAGACAGCCAGTGGAACAGAGGAGCTGCAAGTCCACAGGGGAAGATACAGAGCAGGCCAAAAGTAGGACTGACGGAGACAATGTCAGTCCAAAGTCCTTTTCCAAACGGTATGACACGTACTTGTGCTTGAGACAATGTAATTAAGAGAACTCTCTGTGATATGAGACTTTGCACAGATTCTGATACAACGTGACTAGACACCCCCTCCCGAGGTTTTATGCATAACCTTATGAAAAGTAGCTGGGTTATAGAGTTTTTGGATACGTGTGTTCATCACATGCGGAAATGTAAAACTGTGACATGGACACTGTGTAAGAGGCTGGGTAAGAGTGCCACGCAGCTGCTGCTTGGGGCAATCTCCTGAATATGTTAATGTTACATATAAAACAAAAGAAAATCGGTAAATTAGATAAGTGAAATGATGTGGTATTTGTTCTTAAAGTGGGGACAAACCTCCAATTCTTAAAAACCAAAATTAAAAGAAAACTACAGGTTTGGTTATTCAGGCTAAAAGCAAATCAGCTCTGTATACAGAATGGGCCCAGCGCACGCGGCGGCCTCCAGCCAGGTCCGCAGCCATGTTCTGTGAAAGGTCAGACTGCAAGTAATTTAGGATCTGCAGACACATGGTCTCTGTGCCACCACTCAACTTGCTGTTGCTGCATGAAAACAGCCACGAACAATAAATAAATGGATGCCCATGGCTGTATTTGAATAAAACTTTATTTATAAAAAAGGCAGCGGGTTAGGTTTAGGTTATGGGTTATTGTTTGCCCGCCCTTGGTCTAGATCATGCAGTCATCTACCCAATGGTGTACACTTCAAACAACAGTTATGGAGTACTGAGTCCTTGGCTCAATTCAGAAAATGAAGGACAGAACTTTCTATAGAGTATTTCTGCATTTAGGCTTTAGCTTCCACAAAAGAATGTGGACCCTACTTCCAGCTCAGTTATCTACGAAACGACAGGGACCATACTCACCTGGCAACATGAAAGAGTTATACTACTGTAGGCTTTTGCCAGGGCATACTGCCTTGACTTTACTGCCTCAAAGCTGGATTGAGAGTTACAACATGCAAGAGAGACTTCTTAAAGAACAAGGTCCATCTGCTCTTCGAGATAATCTCTATTCTTGGGCCCAGTCACAGCCATGGGGAAACAGGTGCTCTGAATACACCCCTTTCTTCCACTCACCCACTTCCTGCAGAACTTTCTTATTCTGCAGCGCTTGTTCACTTGAAAATACCAGTTAATCTAGAAAGCTTTTTTAAGAAATGGTCCTAAGACAGGCACTGCTATAAGGAAATTCTGAGTTTTGTGATCATTATATAACAGTGTACACTTTATTGTACTGAAACATTAATATCTGATTTAGAACTAGGAATAGTTATTTACAAGCCATTTGAAAAAAACCATTATTTTGCCTCAGGGACTCTGTGAACCATATAAATGGAAATGGTTCAACCTGACTAATAGGAATAGGTGGAAGAAAAGTGGGCTCTCAACACACAAATAGGTTCTATATCAACAAGAAAAGCCATCTGGTTGCAACTCGGCATTAAATATCACAAGTCCCCCAAATATTCATATTCTTTGATTTAATAATTCCTTTGTGGGAAATTATCCTAAAGACAAGTACACAGGTACTTATTATAGTATTACTTTTAATAATAATAATTTTTTAAAAGACCTGGAAACATGGACACATGGAATAAATAGGCTGACAGCTGTCAGAGGGCAGAGAAGGAGGAGGGACTGGATGAAAGAAGGTGAGGGATCAGCCATAGAACATATGTGCGTGACTCACGGACAACAGAGTGGTGACGGCCGGCAGGAAGGGGGTGGGGCTGAGTGGAGGCAGGCAAAATGGGGGGGTTGGTGGGGACAGGTAATGGTGTCAACAATAAAAATTTTAAAAGAATAAATAAAAAGACCTGGAAATAAAGAATGTTCCAAAACAAGGAATTAGGATAAATCATGAAAGATTCATAAGATGAAAAAGGGAAGAAGCATCACTTATGGAGAACATTTAATGACATGGAAAAATCCTAATAATTACAAATCTAAATATAGAGTAAGAACTTAACACAGTATATATTAAATATATAATCCCAAATACTACAGTATTGGGATTATGGATGAATTTTTGTATTTATACAATTACTTATTTTCCAAAACTCTACAATGAACTTAAGTTTTTGTAAGTAAAAACTTATACTTGAAAAGTACTTGTGAGACCACTTTGATACTGGTTTCACAAGTGTACATCTGTTATAGGAATTAAAAAGGCAAGTCAATACATTAGGCATGTTAAGTATAATATCAGACTGTATGAATCTAACCTATTTATGACACTTCAAAATTAAAAGTCGATATTACAAATAAAATTAGAAATCATAACTCTGCAATTACCAATCTTGTTTTCCACGTATAGGACATTCCCCCCTGCCCCCCAATGCAGTCAAGTCCCTAACAGACTTGAAACCGCAAGTGGTTTTCCAGCCTCAGTGCGTGAGGGTTATTGTGGGGAGGCTGTGAATAGTAACACGCCTGTCTTCCACCATGGAGGATGTCCCCTGGAACAACAGAGAATAACGTGCCTGCGGCCCCACTCAGCACGGGGAGTTTGTGTGGTCATCTGCACGTGCCCCTCAGGACCCATTCTTGTCTGTTCTGACAGCTCCTGCCTCGAGAGCACTGACCTCTCTGGAATTCACCACCAGGTCTCCCAGACTGCCCTGTCAGGCTTTGGCCACTGGGAGACCTCAGCAGGAACAGAGAAGGGTCTGGGTATACATCGCCCTTGACCCGTGGTGCAGTTTTTACAGTGGCTGTGTCTTATAAAACTGCGGGTGTTGAATGGCCCTCCTCCAGGAAAGTCATCTCCCTCTTCGCCATTCAGTCAAAGACGGTAACGACGGCCTGCCGCTGCCCAGCGGCCCTGTGCGCTTCACCGTCTACTCACTCTGTTCAAAGTTCATTCACCGAACTTTCTTCAACTACACCGTTTGGTTATGTCATTTGACTCTGCTGGGACCTTGTCTATTTTAGGAAAAGAAAATAAAAAAACTGTTGTAGAAATCACTGCCTTAAAGGAAAGCTCATTGCCAGGTCCCAAAACTTCTAAAAAAAAAAACCTGGAAAAATATAACCTGAACTTACCATGAAAACTGCACATTTAAGTTACCGCTTGAAACTATGGAATAGACAAGTTGTGAGCTGTCACTACACAAGTAACATCCAAGTTAGTGATAGTAGAATGAGATCCCCTTAAATTTTACCTTGAAATTCAATGTGACCCAAGACAATCCATTATTAAAAGGCTCTATTTTGAAAACTGGTTATTCTTGCTCCATCTTTCAAACAAAAATATATACTTAAAAATGAAATGGACAGGCACTGGAAAGCATCTTGCAGAGCAGAGGCTTACCTCTTTGAACTTGTGGCTGAGCTTGGCCGTGTCCAGGTCTGACGGGGAGAACATGTCCTCGTTCTCAGGCAGCTCAAAGACTTCGATGGCCATGTCACCGCCAGGAAGGACAGGTCCTACCTCGTCCTCCTCTTCGTCGGTGGCATATTCTCCTGTCTGAAAGGAAGGGGATTTCAGAAATCTGGCTGTCCTTACCCCAGGTGGAGATGGGCTATTTGAGAATATGTCACAAAGAGAAATAAAACATCACCAAATTATAAAAGGGTAAGTGGGCTTTCAAGCCAAGCATGCCTAATGCAGCCAATGTTATAAACAAATGTTAGTTCACACACTCAAAGGGACATGTACACCCATGTACAAGCGCATTTCTAAAACTCTAATAGTGTCAGTAGCATCTTTAGTATAGCAACAAACATTTTCAATCTAAGGTATTTGATGGTTTTATTAAATAAAACTACGTTGCTAAGGGAAACAATTCCTTTAAATTCTCACCACCTGTGTGAGTAAGTCACCTGGTACTGGGAGCAGGGAAGAGGGAGAGGGAGGTCAAGAGACTCACAGAGTTGGCAGGGACCTCAATTACGCCTTGCGAAAGCTTAGCGGATTACTTCACCTAAGCTTTAGAGTTCAGCTGGTTCTGTTTCATTCATTTGTTTAACTGGTGTGGTTAACTAGTGGCCTAAAGGGTAATCCAACGGTTTGTAAAGTAACCTCCCACACTGCTTTCCTGCAGAGTACTTTGAAAAAGCTTAGTATTTTATCAACCCTAAAAAAAAAAAATTCATGTATTCTAGATCACCAATTTTTCTCGAGAAAGCCAGTGATCTGGCAATATGGTAATACTGCCATAGTAATAACTGGCCCTGGTCAGCAGTGGCTGCCCCTTTTGGAGGGGCACCACAACTTCCGCACCTCCGCATTATTCTGTGCTGTTAGCTTCCCCGCTTCGTGATACCCCCAGGGCCCCAAAGGTGTCTGAGTTCATATCCCCTGAGATGAACGTTCCTCCTGACCCCTAAACTCTGTAACATTATTAGCAGGTGGCTCTGCTCCTGGCAGCATCAGGCTATGAGACGCTAATCAAAATAACTTTCAAATCTATACCTTATGATATAACTTAAAGACAGATCACCGATTCACAGGGTTGAAAAAACAAAGTTTGTTTAATTCATCTTTGTTCCTTCAGGTAGTTTGATCTAATACATAAAACAGATTAAGAATTCATGTTGCCTTAAAAAACTTCCATAAACAGTATACAGAGTGATCTATTCCTTTGATTAAATAGGCTTAGCATCTGATTGCTGGTTTTTTTTTTGATTCTGTACTATGATCTTACTAAGGCTGAAACTCTTATTTCTTTTGCTATGTTTGCATATGAAGGAAATACAGTCATTAACCTCAATGTAATAATTCCTCATGTCTGGAAGACCATTATTAAATTGCCCTTCTGACTTTTCCTTTTCAAGCAAAACAATTCTAGTTTTCTCACAGGTCTCATTCTCTGCGATCCTGGATTCTGATTCTCTGAAAGTTCCTCTCATTTTTCTTAAATCATGGGGCCCAGCAGTAGACACGATTTCTAGTAAGGACTCTGAGGACCATCAACTGTGATGAACAAACTGCCTTGGCATCCTTCAGGCTCTGCTTCCCATTGGAGGTGATTATCATGAAGACTTTGACTTTGGTGGTATTTGTGTGTAATTGTATCTGGAAGTCCAGGGCTCTTTAGAAACCAGTTTGAGAAATGTCCAAGCTGTAGCAATACCATCCCAAGTGTCCTTGGCACTGGCTGGGGAAGGCAGTGAGAGAGTGAGGGCTGGATGGTTCCAGACAGCTTTCATTTGTTCGTATGATTAGATCCTCCAAATCTTAAAAGAACTCTAATTCCAGATTTGATTGTTTCTTTTTTAATGGTATTCTGTAAATTAATTCATTTCCTACTTATACATATGGTGAGGTGTGTCTGGAAAAAGTCCAGCCATTGCTAATATAACAAGAACAGTTTGCACAACATTGGTGTAACCTGGCAGCCAAGGAGAGTGGGCTGAAATGCACATGTGTGAACAATGATGACTTCACTGTACTAGTCAGTGGGGGCAGTAGACGCCATTGAGTGAGCATGTGTACTATGTGGCCATCACATTCAAAATGACTGAACGAGTAAAGCAACAAATCTGCATCAAATTTGCATGAAGCTTGAACATTCCTCCATAGAAACTATTGGGACGACTCAGAAGGCTGCAGCTGTGGGCAACTGGTGATTGGCAGCTTCATCACAACAACACACTTACTCATGCATCATATCTTGTGCAGAGTTTGTTAGCAAAACATCAAATTGACCAGGTGACTTGGCTGCCCTCCAGCCCAGATTTGGTGCCCTGTGACTTCTGGCTTTTCCCAAAACTAAAATCACCTTTGAAAGGAAAGAGACTTTGGTCCTTTGATGAGATTCAGGAAAATACGATGGGGTAGCCGATGATGGTTGGGAGAACTGTGTGAGGTCCCCAAAGTGCCTACCTTTGAAGGCGACTGAGATGTCATTGCCCTATGTACAATGTTTCATGTCTCTTGTTGAATGTCTCTATTTTTCCATATTATATGGCTGGATACCTTCTGGACAGACCGTGTATATTTAAAACCAACAGGAACTTTGTAAATCCAGGTGATAGGTGACGTTCAGCAGTAGGAATGTAGTTAGGCTAGTACGTACACATACTCAAGATACCTGCTGAAAGTTTTGATTTATAGATATAAAACCCAATGCTTGTTTTTAACCCTATAATTACAATTAGAATCACAGCTGCACTTTTATTATGAAGGCCTAAACCAAGCATATAAAATTTATTTCTATATCATCAATTTGATGACTATCATGAATGACTCAAAGTCTTGGCTAAATTTAAAGCCCAATAATCATGTGGCACATTGTAAATATAAGAGCTGAAATGAACAATCGTATTTCCCTTTGCCAGCTTGAAAATAGATTTCTCTTCACCATGTGCAAGGTAATGAATATACACACAGGACAGGGCAAAGTAGGCTTACAGTTGCACAGTCATTCATGATAAATAGTACAATAATAAATAATCATGTAAAAATAAACTCATTTCTCATTTTGTGAAACACAGAGTTTATCCTTGTATTACTATTTATTGTATTGTTTTCCATATGAACAGCTGTAAACCTACTTTTACACCACCTTGTATGTGTTCAGAATGGGAACTGACAGAGAATATCAACAAATGATTTTTTAAAAAATAAATCCAAAAGTGCCGGTTGCATTTACCTGGTAATATTTATAACCTCCTAACGAGGTTTCTCAGTAGTATTGAGAACATGCACTGGGGAGTCATTTGTTAAAAAGGGAGTATTTTGTCAATTTATTTTTTAACATGCCTTGTACTGAGTAACAGGATTAGCGTATACACAAGGTACGCAATTCTCACCTCTAAGTATAGTTCTGGCTTTGTCACCCACTTTAGTTATCAAAATTATCTTCACAAATTTAAGTTATTCAGAAGGTTCCTCTAGCTTCTTTTATGTTTGACTTTGCCAGTTTCCTTTCCATCTCAGTATTCTAATTACCTGTAATTCTGCCAAAATTCTTTTTGTTTTTCATTTCATCTTTTTATCTCCAGTGTACAAAAATGTACAAAAAAGGAGTTGCTACAACAAAATACTTCTATTGGCATCCAGTTCCTTATCTTTACCTCTGGCCAGATTCAACATCTTTCAACTAAACAGAGACTCCTGAAAGTTCTTTGTCCCAACCTGCAAGTCCACGTTAAATGAGGCAAGAATAGTCCCTCGTGTAAGAATTGACAGAGATAGTAAATGTTCCTTTTCATCTCCTTGTCTACCTTCTTTGTTACTATTTTATATAAGATCTGTCCAGAGGTATCCAGCCATGTACTATGAAAAATAGAGATATTTATTGAAGAAGATATCAGATACATGAAATACTGTGCATAGGACAATGACACCTCACACAGTTTGCCCAAATGCCATCAGCTGGCCTGTTATATTTTCCTGCATCTCATTAATGGGCTCAAATCTCTGCCCTTTCAAAGGTGACTTTAGTTTTGGGAAAGGCCAGAAGTTGCAGGGTGTCAAGTCTAGGCTGTAGGGGAGCTGAGTCACCTGCATGAGATGTGATACATGAGCAGATGTGTTGTTGTGATGAAGCTGCCAATCACCAGTTGCCCATAGCTGTGGCTTCCTGAATCATCCCAACAGTTTCCATGGAGGAATGTTCAAGCTTCATGCAAAATCTGATGCAGAGTTGTTGCTTTACTTGCTCAGTCATTTTGCATGTGACAGCCGCACAGCACACATGCTCACTCAATGGCGTCTACCATCCCTACTGACTAGTACAGTGAAGTCATAACTGTTCACACATGCACATTCCAGTCCACTTGCCTTGGCTGCCAGGTTACATCGATGGTGTGCAAAGTGTTCTCGTTATATTAACAATAGCTGTACTTTTTCCAGACAGATCTTGTACTTTTTAATAGCTCCCCTGAAAGGGAGAAAATATGAATAACCATTATTTTGTAACTTACTCTGTGCCCAACACTGTACATTTCTAAAAAATATGTAGTACTATGCCATCTTAATTTGAGGAAACTGAGACTCAGATACTTTATCCAACACCAGATTGTCAGTTACGTTCTTGAAGGTGTATCTAATATATTCCACAGCCCATGCTCCTTTCATTCTGCTGTCTGCAGGACACATGAACTAAAGCTTTGCAGAAAACAAAAAAACAAACCAGAAATACGTTCCTTTCATTTTTCCCCAAGCAAAATCCTAGTGCATAATCCTGTTGTGTGGCAATTTCCCTTCCACATCTTTGAACATTATCATTCAGTTAGCTTTGAAGATTTTGAGGCGTGTCTCCAGTGAGCTGCAAAGTTCTTATTCTTTTCCTTTCTCTCGCAACATGCTCACCCTGGGCAAGTGCATAGAAATCTTCAAAAGATTTGGTTTATGGGTTGGCTGATGTTTCATGTACTCCTTTTTAAAAAAAATGTTTATTGATTTTAGAGAGGAAGGAGGGGAGAGAGAAAGGAACATCAATGTAAGAGAGAAACATTGATTGGTTGCCTTGTATATATGTGACCCCCAACTGGGAATCGAACCTGCAACCTTTTGGT